AAAGACAAGTCATGGAGTTACCTCCGTGGGCAGACCTATCAGGTGTTGTGTTTTTTTATTTTAAAAGTTCGCACAACACCAATCACCACCTCATGGCTGACTTTGTCGCCTGTGGATGTTCACGAGGATCCCTTATGTTATATAGAAAGATTTTTTTAAAGTAGAACTTGACAGGGCATCATGTCTTATCGGTATGAGCAGTAGCGTAACGCCTACGCGCTCTCATGCGGCGGTTCGCAGGGCCCCCGAATTCTAGGGGCCCCAAAGGGACCATACCCATAGGTTCCTTGATCTAGTACCCTGACCAACAAAAAGGACTCCAGATTTGTCTAAAAAATAAACTCTCCAACTGTGAAAGTCCCTCCCTGGCCTCAGTTTTCTGCATATTATATCATTTATTCGTCGTTAAAAAATTTAGAATAACAATACACAACTAATCCCACGATGGAATTGGTGACTGGGACCCAAAAAGGGCCCCCAGTTTCAGGGCCCCTGGCCCCATCATTACGCCACTGGGTATGACTCAAGAAAACATTAGGACCTTCTAAATGCTATAGAGTGAGAGAAAATAGCACCAAGGTTTAAAATAATCTAACTGGACACCAACGTTAGCATCATAACTGAAAAAATGACTTAATAACTGAAAAATGCTTAATCCATCCTGAATAAAGAGCAGTGCAGAAAATGAACATGGATGAATAACAACAAATGATAGGTTTACGGAGGGAGAAAGCTTACAAGAAGAAAAAGAAGTCCTACCTGACACGTTATCGTACTGAATTCACAATTTATGTTCCAATATACTAGTTAAAATAATTCTTGCAAGTGATTCAAGTGGAAATTGAACACACGACTTTCTGATAATAACTAGCCTGGTGTGTTAACCACCAGACCACAGGTTGATGCTTAGTGTTTCACAGTATTGCAATGAATCAGGAAATTTAATAAGAATGATTTTTTTTTTTTGGGTTGGGCAAAACATTCCTATAAAATTTCCACCTGACGCAAGCACCATCGTATTACAATATGAATAACAATGATTGTAAATATTCACACAAAAGGTACAATATGCTTTTGATTATCTTTTGAGATACTGCAGAACTTGTGGAAAAAAAAAAGACTGTTATGGATGAATTAACTTAATATGTCGAATTTGGTCTGTGGCATAAATAAATTGTGTATCACGCTCTACCGTAGATGAGATGAACTATCTTATCAATTGTATCAACTTTTTAAATAACAATATGTGGAGTGCTCATTTTTATGCAGGTATTGACTTTCAACATTTGCTCACACAAATGCCCTTAAATTTAATTTTTTTTTTACTTC